AGACTTTTGTCAAAATATTTTCCCAGCTTTTCTGTAGTTGGAAGGAAGTGTGGCCTGCTAAATGAAGTTTTGCCTGGTAGAACCCCCTGAAAGATTCCTATGCCTATGAGAGTACTTTCATCTCATCTGTGTGGCAAGTTATCATTATAAAACAACATACCTTGCACATCTATCTGATATTGGTATGCCAGCCATATTTCCATGTGAGAGAGGTTCTAACACACATGGAAAATCTGGCAAGGTGTGGAGGTTGGTGTGGAGTAAGGCACAAGTCTTACTTTGGACATGCTATGGCTTTTTGGGAATGCTGGCACTAGCCCACTGTGCTTCTGACAATGGCATATTAAAGTCTAAATTGCCTGTGATTTTAGGGAGACATCATGAACTATGCTGGAAGCAGCATGGGGGAACTCTCTAGACATCTTCAGTTGATGTCTGTGGCATTCATGATTAAGGAACACCAGCTCAGCTCGGCTCTCTCCATTTACACAGCTTCTATGCTCAGCTTATTTCAGATCTCAAGTTTCCTGGTTTGACTTCCTACCCTCTCCACCCCCCAAAAAAGGCACAAAGAAGCCAGCTCTCTGGTTTCTGTATTGGCCATCAAGTGGTCTTGAGCAGATGTACAAGGGATGCTGGCTTTAATTTATAACTTGCCTGGTAAATCTCCCTGCCCGTTAATAACTTAAACCTTAGGAAAGCATGCTTAGGAAAAGCAAAGATCAGATCTAGAGAACAGAATAGTACACTACAGTCTGTGCAGGAAATGCTCTTATAAATGTGTGAACTCTCAAATGTCCAACATCATTTTCAGGCAAACTGCACATTGACCTACCCCCTTACCTCCACTGCCAAAACTAATTCTGGACACACAAAGACTACTGACCACCTTGCTGACACTGATGCCCCAAGCAAATGGCAAGACTGGCCACTCTAGTGAGTGCCTGACTTTTCCACGTTGTAAGTTGTAGTTTCTTGCCCAAAATATACTTCTTAAATGTTGACTCTGGCACCCTCTGCACAAATGTTGAAACATTTCTGGGAGATCTCTATGCTTACTCTCCCTATACATAGCAGATTCTCTCTTACATTTTTAATTTGGAGCCCCCCCCCCAAAAAAAAATGACTGGCAGGACCAAATCATCTACAAATGAAGGCAAAGCAGGCCCAGTTGAAGGTGCTGTTTGCTTTCTCACTTAGCTACATCTCACTTCTCATGTCTAACTTGTTGGAATTGACCATCTTCCGGTAACATTTCTAGTGTTGGAAACCAACACTGGAGCTTAGCAGAGAGATACTGGTTTATATCGAAAACAAATATAGAGGGGGAAATTGAGCCAGTTTTCACTTGCAAAATCAGTTTCTCCAAGGACTGGGTTATATTATGTTTTGGGGATCTCAGAGAAAGCTACCAGTCCTCAGATTGTCCCCTCCTCAGTGAGGAGGGAAAATGGCCTTACATGCTCCTGTTCAATACGTATGTTTCACTGATAAACTCCAAAGAAGGGCTTTTATCTTTTTTGAAAGCTGTCTACTGTGCTATGTTCTGGGTGACCTCTTGAGATTTCTTTGAACTCGAAGAATCTATCTCCTAACATGTGAAGGGCAGCTGCCTTAGTATATTGTGAGACTCGCTCCTGTACGCCAGGTACGTATGGGACAAGCACAGTTTCAGGCCCATTTTGGGTCTGTAACATGCTTAATGTCTCATAGGCTAGCATATGCCAGTAGCTTTCCAAAGCAAGGTCAAGTGAAGCCATTCAGGGTCAGGACCAGAGGCTAATGAGGAAACTAACTACCCCATCTCCATCCTGTTTCCTCTATTGAGAATAACTTTACACTCTGTGAGGGACCAGGAAATATATCCTATATATTTTCTCTTCCTATGCTATTTAGTATGTGGCAGGGTTTAGGAATCTAACCTTGAAGCCATATGCCTGAGGTCCTATCTGCACTCCTGACCTTAAGGCTGTGTTCTAGGACATTCTGTTTTACTGGTCTGACATTGTTCAGGGGTCACAACAGCTCTTTGGCTCTTCCAGAACCATCACAAAAGCACTGGAGTCGAGTGAAATCCTGTCTGTGGTTATTCATTTCTACAGAAGCAGAAACACGATGATCAGGCTGGCAATTGTTTGCAAGGTAGAGATGGCAGCCCCTTTACAAGTATTGCCTAGTGTTTGCAAATGCAGTTTGCTGGCCTGAAGTCTTAACATGTGCCAGCTCTAATGAACTTGTACTTTACATACATGTAGGTCTCGGGAGACTCAGGCATAAAGTGTTCAAATAGCACAGGACCAGCACCAGAGTTGCTGGCAAGTGGATGATTCTAGGCAAAAAGTTCCAAGATTTAGGAAATACATGACCCATTTAAGTTTAGATTATGACCCTCTCTTAAAAAAAAAAAAAAAAAAAAAAAAGAACACCCTTGTCTACATGGCCTTTCTTGGATGTAGATGAGATTGCTATTGTCTCTCCCTTCTGGTGCTCTGGTAAGTTAGGCATTATTTCTCCTGGTCTTCTAGGTTCTTTCTGTGGGTACTCTGGCATTGCCAGTGAACCACTCACTCCCAGAGCAAGAGGAGTAAGAATCATTGGGCATACTGAAGGAGAACTTGCAGAACTCTGGGCTTGAAGACTCTATAGCATCTAATATCTTAATCTATATCTAGGCTGGAGGAAAGAGTCACAGAGCCCCCATGTATTTTGCCACCAGCAGTCCTTGTAACATCTCCTGTTAACTTCACTTGAGTTCCTTGCAGAAAATCAGTGCACACCTGCCTGTACTGTGTCAGGTAGTTTGGAGCAGCCTCTGAGTGTGTATGTATATTGGGGGACAGGGAAAAGGGCTGGACAGAAAGATTAAGCATAGAAGGCCAGGGCCAGAAGATCAGTCCACATGTCTTGGTACTTTGAACTTAAGACAGACCATCTGGGTTTGCTTAGGGTCAATGCCTGCTTCAACTGACTCCAAGTTTGGCCAGTTCAGAAAGAACTGCTTCCCCACTGTGACGATTTAGCTGTGTACCAGGATCTCCCTTTCACTTGGGGTACTGTCATATTCCACTTGCAGGAAAGGAGGAGCAAGGACATCCTCACTTTCCTGATCCCAACTGAACTGACTTTTGGCTAGCTCCGTGCAGCAGCCTGGGGTGCTTTCCTAGCACCCCCTAAAAAGCAACACCCAATGGAAAGTTAACAGCACGTTAAAGATTCCCAGACCACAAAGGGACCTGCAGCTAGAGTGACTCCTTTCTCCCACCTCTTTGGATTACAGCCAACAAAGTATTTTATACATTCATGTTTTTAAATATTACAAAATATATAACGCAAGTCAAGTCACTCTGAGGGATGGTTTAATAAGTTAACGTTACTCATCCATTAATGACTAATGTAGGCGTCTGAAAATTTTTGTTAAGCAGGACTTCTCTGGGCTTGTAGGCTTGCCACACGTAGTATTCAGGCGTCACTACACACGGACACTTTTCAGAGTGCAGCAGGAGAACGCACCAGAAGGAACAGCCCCTTTGAGCCTGGCTAATCTTAAAGGTAACCCAGCTGGGGCAGCTCAATTAAATCGGAGAAAGCACGTGACCAACCTAAACGCAATCCAGTTGCCAGCCAATCGCACGGGGCAGAAAAGCCCTGCCCAGCTTCTCACGCTCGGGACAGCGGAACCAAAGGCTCAGGGACGCTAGGAGACTTAAACACCCCAGCACAGGTCGACAGACTTCTTGACCATACACTTGAAAAGTTCGCTCGCTCTCCAGGACACACGTGACCGCACGCAGGCGGGCCTTCTAAGCTACTCCGCCATAGGAGATGGGCACTCTGGACTCTTTAGTGCTGGGACAGCATTCTGCCCTAATTACCTAGAGCTGGTTGGCAAGCAAGCTCTTTGGTGTCACCTCTTAAGACCTCTAAGACCTCTTCAGTGGCCTGCTAAGGATCAAACGGGACTTTGTTAGGAAGGCGTCTTATCGCCTGCTCTGAAAAGTTGTGCAACCCAAGATGGGGGACTAAACACGCAGGGATCCCAAGCCAGTGCGCTGACCCCTGGGAACTAACGATAGTAACCCCCGCCCTCCCCAAGCCACAGTCATACCCCAGCTCTAGCACTACACTTTCGATCTATTGTGTCAAATAAAAGCTAATTGCAGTCACTACACTGGGACTCAGTTTCTGGAAGGTGGGGGAGGTCACCCTGAACGAAGCTTGGCAAAGTAACCTGATTAAGTCTGGGTCCCACTCCCCTCCCCCGTTCAGTTATCTCAGAGACCCAGAGGTATACAAACGCCGCAGTAGCGGCGGAATCCCCAGGGAAAGGAGAAAAGCACTCGGAGGACAGTCCAGTTAAAAGCCACACTTGGAGCCGGAGAGACGGCCCGGCGCCTGGGGAGTCGCAGTCCCGGTGCGCAGCACTTGTCATGGCTTGGCCTCCAGGCTGCCGCCCACCGAACGTGCGCCTGCTCACGGCTGCGTGAGGACTCCCTGCCCGGCTAGCACCTGGCGCCCGGTGTCCTCGGAGACGCCCACCTTCACCCACTGTGAGCTCTCAACCCTGCTTAAGTCTGAGGGGCGCACCCGGGCTTCCAGGCCCGGTGCTCAGCTACGGTCCTAACAGCCCGCCTGGCAGAGGAGGCAGAACCATTGTTCAGTGGCTCCAAAGCCCACATCCCCAAGCCCTTGTCAAGGGGGATGAAAACCATGTAAAACAGAGGTTCTGGGAAGAAAGGGGACACAGGGGAATGACAACAAGTTCAAGGGACGCTTTAGGACACCCTAAACCCCACCATCCCCCGGGCCCAGCTCCCAGTAGCCTCGGTTCTGACAGCTCAGAGGCGCCACCCGGGCGGGGAGGGGAGGCAGGAGAGGAACGCGGAGAGGCGCCTCCTAGGAGGGGGGTGGGCAAGAGGAACCCCAGGGACCCCCAAAACGCAGAGATCGCGGACGCCCCGGCTTGTTACGGGCCGAGTGCGGAGGGGCGCGTCCCCACTCACCGCTTGTAGAGGCGCCGCTGTCCCGGGGCGCCCAGCACAGCGCGAGCAGCAGCCACAGCGCCCAGCGCGCGGACGTGCCCATGCTGCCCGCCCGGATGGTGCCGCCGCCGCCGCCGCCGTCGTTGTCGCCGTTCGCTCCGCACAACAAGTTACCAGCCCTTCGGAGAGGAGGAAGGAGGTGGGGGCGGGGAGGGAGGAGGCGAGGAGGAGGGGGAAGGAGTGAGGAGCCGGGAGCACGGAGAGCGCGGAAGGAGCGGGCACCCTTTCCTTGCAACTTGCACGCTCTACTCCCCGCCAGCCACCCACCCAGCCACCCACCCAGTCACCTCCCCCGCCGAGGCCCCGGTGTGAGCGCGGACCCTGCGGGCGGAAAATAATGCAGGCGTTGCAGAGGAGGGGAAGGAGAGGGGAGGGGACGGCGCGGGAGGAGGGGGCGGGGAGCCCGTTCGCCAGGGACAGCGGAGCTAGCGGTCGGGGGCACCCACTCGGGCGGCAGGAGCGAGGCAGAGCTGCGGGGGGACCCCAACGGGGGAGCTCAGTCCAGCAGCTCCTGCACGCGCCGCTCTCCCGCGCGAGGTGCGGAGGGTGTGGGGGCAAGTGGCAGCGTGCGTGCGTGAGTGGCAGTGGCTGTGGATGTCGCCGCCGCCATCCGGACGGCTCCAGGGGCCCGGCTACTCCGCGCGTCGGCCCGGGGCTCACGGGGGACCCGGGGCGGCCGCTGGTTGGCTCGCACACCGTCCTCACCTCCAATCCCGGTTGCCTGCCCTAATTTCCTGATCCAGGGAACCTGCGGCCGCAGCAGCTGTGCGCTCCCTAGCTCCCTACAGTTGCTACTGTACCCTCCTGGCGCTGGGGCCCAGAGCGCTGATGCAACTATTGCTGCTGTTGCCTCCACCTCTGGGTTGATGGGGCTGACAGTTGAGGGGTCTGGGGGCGGCAGGGAATGCTCTCCTGCGCCCCTAGGAAGGGATGGTATTGTGAGGTTGGTAGGTAGCATCTTCCTAGGGACTCTTCTTTCCAACCTGAAAGTGATGCAGACAAGGGGTGTGAAGGCTCTGCTGCACTGCTTTGGGGTTCCGGAGTCCTGTCTCAGTGGCAAACTGAGATGCCATTTTGATAAAAATTAAATGTGTCTTTAAGTGTGTGTGTATGTGTGTGTGTGTGTGTGTGTGAGAGAGAGAGAGAGAGAGAGAGAGAGAGAGAGAGAGAGAGAGAGAGAGAGAGAGAGAGAGAGAGAGGAGTTCCTCTGGTTGTGGTTGTGGCTTTTCCTCTGTAATAGAACAAGACTAAAATAACCGAGCCTGGGATGGGGAGGAGGGAAATTGCCAGCACAGCTCTGCATTCTCTCATCAACGATTATAGTTAATTGCTAATTGTACAAAATGATAGTTTGAGGGCCTGTAATTAAAAGCTTAACCTTTTTTGGGGGGGTGGGGAAAGGGGACCGGGGTAGATTTATTCTTGGTATACTTTGTAACATTCAATTATAAGTGTTGGTGGGGAGGAGGGGGAGAAGGAAGCAAAGTCAACTCTCCCAGAAAGGATGGACTTTTGGGGTTTTGCCAGACAGAACATGAGTCTAAGATTTGCTCTTCCTGTCCTTCAGTTTTCTTGAGCACATTCCCCTGCTTGAGATGCCTTCTCTGCTCTGGCCTAAGCAGAGAAGAGGGGTACACTGAGCTATTTCACCTGTTATTACAGTGTGTATGTTCTCTTTTTGTAAGTTACTGTAATTTGAATGAAACAGAGTTGACAGATTCCACATTTCACATCCTAGCTGTCTTCTGGCTTTGTCTCTCCTTACCTTGGTTCTCCTGAGCAATTGTCAGGCTTCTAGGAGGGATGTTTATTTGAGAACTTCCTGTACCCAGGGGATGGGGGTAATTCTCAACCAGGACACATTCTGGTCCCTCTAATTTATCCTCATCATGACTGGCAAGCCCACATCCAGATGGGATCTTTCTAAGTTGCTCAGTGTGAATGCTGTTTTTGTATAAGTGGTGGGTAGGAGATGGGCAAAGCCTGCACCAGCCACACACGTGTTGCATCGGAAACAAAATGCATGTCATTTTACAGGTGCTCCCAGCTATTATTTACCTCACAGACCAAATTGAGAAGGATGGTCTAACTTTAGGTCCTTATAATCTTCAGCATCTCTGGGGACTTGAAAAGCTCATGGTCACTTTCCAGCTGGCAATATGGGTGGGAACATAAGAGAAGTCAATATTAAAAAGCTCAACATTAATGAGTCTTTGTGTGTTTATTTTTAATGTTTTCCTTGAGAGAGAAATGTACACTAAAAGAGAAATATTGATATGATACAATAAAATGTACATTTGACAAACATGTATTCTGCTTTCTAGCATAAATAAACAGTTGGTAGGGTTATTAGTATTAGCTATGGCTCTGTGCTCAGTCCTGTAGCTTTTTGTTCAGTCATTGTTACTCTGCCTCTGATTGGCTGTGCAACTTCAAACAACCCCTCCTTTTTCTCTGCCTGCCTTCTGACCTGTAAACTGAAAACAACAACAACACACATAATAATCAAAATTTTCTGTGGCCTCAAGAACCAGCTGGCCTTGGCATTCATTATTATCAGAAAGAAGTTACAAGGAGGCATGTATGTGATTAGTATAGTGAGTAACCAATAAGGAAAAGAATAAATTGATCATGAATTCAGGAATTCAAGATCCAGGTATGTCAGGAGTCCTATTTACTCCCACCACACGAATCAATTTGTCCAAACAGCACACATTGAGCAGTGCTGGGAGGTGGGTGGTGCTAGGCAAGGCAGCCGAGATGGATACATGCTTATCCATGTATCTAGGCCGTGGGAGCTAGGCAGGGTAAGGCAGATGTGGTGAAAATTCCAGCATGTTACATACAGCGTCAGAATCCAGAGTTGTTTGAGATGCTGTAAAATACGGAGATGAGGTCAGGGCTGCTGCTCAGTGATGGATTGCTTGCCTAGCATGCACACTGTTGTGCATTCCACCTGAAACACTGCAAGAATGAATGCATGAATGAATGAGTAGGATTACAGGGAAAACCCAAGTGAGTTGGGTGTAGGATGAGGCTATAAGAAAAGGCTTTCTCAGGTGCTTGTCCTTGAACTGATGTACTCAGCATTTTTCACCCAGTAAGTCACATTCCCAGCTCCACCTTCTTATTGTTGGTTGGGTTAAGATACTGCCTTTGCCTAATTAATGGAGAGAAGTTAGAGGGCATCACTTCCAGACAGGGTTATTTAGTTGCTTGTGTGAGGCTCTCCATTTTTGTCTTCCTGGCAACAGGAGGCATTCTAGAGGTGGCCAGGCCATTTGTCCATCTTTCTGATTGACTGCATGAGCAGTTGTACACACATCTTTGATGATGTCTGTGAATGAGAAGGATTTTAAATACATTTTAAAGGTTTGGAGACATATACTCACATATCATAGACTATGTTACAAAGTCTAAAATATTTATGATTTGCCTTGTTAAGGAAAAGGCTTGCTAATCACTAACACAGAGTGAGGAAACAGTTTATGTTGACTTAACCTACGGAGAGTTTTACGCAATGCAACCTGGAAATAACTTTACTACATTGGGAAGAGGGGAGAAGGGCTTAGAGAGGAAACCAAGACACGAGAGCAGCATGTGTCCAAGGTAGTGAAAGGAATTCAGAATGGCTCTATATTGATATATTAAAATATATATTGATACTGATATATTGAATAATTAAAGCTTGACTGAGGAATCAGAAAGCAAAGTCAGCCTCAAGGTACAGAAATCAGGCAGTGGTGAAACACATCTTTAATTCCAGCAGCCAGAAGCTATGGGGTGGTGGTACATACTTTTCATCCTAGGACTCAGGATGAAGACGTAGATGGATCTCTGAATCCAAGGCCACCCAGATATACACAAGAGTGACTAGGTATAAAAGAGAATTATAGCTCACACCTTTAATCCCAGCACTAGAGGGGTAAAGAAAACAGGAGCAAGCAGTCAGCAGGAGGCATTCATTCTCCAGCTACACGGGGAGAGGTTATAGTCTGAAGCTTGGTGAGAGTTCTTGGAGACAGGATCAGATCATTCAGCCTGTGGTAGAGGTAAGAAGCTAGGGGCCAGCTGCTTTGTGTTTCTTATCTTCAGCTTGAAGTTTGAACCCCAATATCAGTCTCTGGGTCATTTATTTTTTTCATGTTACATGGCTCAAGGTTGGGGTCCAAGGGACAGGTGGTGGGAAGCAGGGTTGAAGAAGGAGGCAGGGACTGGTTTAGTGGGCCTTGGTGAGTCATCTGAAGGCTTTGGAGGTTACAATAAAGCACAGGGAGGCCTTGAGGTAGAATTGACCAGGGGCTTGTCATTCAGTTTCTTTTTGAAAGATGACTCTGCAGTGGTGTGAGACAGGGTAAAATAACATCAGAGAGGGAATCCCTGAGACGTTGGGTGATGGAGATGCTGGGTAATAGAGACACTGAGCGATGTATTAAAGAACTGTTGCTCTTAGCACAGGCTCCTAGGCCTCTTCCTGGAAAATCTGCTTTAATAGTACCTCAAAACCTGTATATGCAATGCTGTGATTTAGGAAGCAGAGATGGTATACATCTATAAGATTCCCCACAAATGAATTGTTTAAAATATAAAAAAGAAGCATGAAAGAAGCATTTGGTTTTTTTTAGAATGACTCCAATGTGGTTTTACTTATGTAAATTTATTTGTTCAATTTCTCTGAGGCTTCCATCAGGACAGGGTCCCAAGAAAACGCCAAAGTTCATGTTCTTCTCCTATCTCCCTCTCTTCAAAGCCCTGAGATGAATACATAGAGGTCTAATTTGTGCTGCTCTTGAAAGCTTCTGCAAGTCAGAAAGAAGTAAACAGAGCTGATGCTCTCTGATATATTGAGATGCTTACAGCCTGGCCTTCCTTCTACCCTTCTTAATTGTGTGACAGGCTAGTGGATCCCATAGGATTCGCCTTCTCTATAGGCTGCATGGGCAGGGCTTGATGGTTTAAACTAACACATCACACATTTTTAACTTCTATCAAAGCCACTTGAAAGGTCAGTCTCAATATAATGCCTGCCTCTACTCCCAGAGTTTGTGATTGAGCAGGTCCAGGGTCCCTGCTACTGAAGATTCGGAGTTTTCAACATCTTCCCCAGGAATACTGTTGCTGTTAGTCAACGAATGTACTTTGAGAATCACTCCTGAACCCACCTGTGGGACTTCCTCTATCAAGTACATGATTGGTTCAGGGTCTCAACCAGTTAGCCTGTTGGCATTCCCCAAATGCTCCATTCAAGGCTTAAGCCTTAAGCACATTCCCCAAGCTGCCTGTGTTGTGGGGAGGCTCAAGAACCTACAGCTTCACTCCAGACTTTCTCTTGGTTAGAAAGATGTTTACTTCTAATGTGCAAGGTCAGAAATGCTCTTGTTGTGACAGCATGAAGGAAGATGATTTGGAGATGACCTGTAGTGTCTGCAGTTTCATTGTGATGGTTCCGTTTTTGAACTTTTACAAGATTTGCATGTGGACAGAAACGATGTATCTAATGCTCTCTTGGTATGTGTGTGGTTTATGTAACATCACACCTAGCACTCCATGAAGGACAAATGTGCTTCTTCCCAAGCTGGTTCTTTGGGAGAATACTGTCCAAACATCTTTATTGTTTTAGGAATATGTTTACTGGACTTCAAATACTGAACACAAGCAGCTTATCTAGGAACAAAAGAAGAGGCTCAGATTTTGAAACTGCTTCAATTTAGAAACAGCAGGTGGTTTGGAACAATAGGAAAACAGAGTAACTGAAGGTGAATGGAGAAACCACAGAAATAGATGAATCGAGGAAGATATTAGTATCTTTGCTGAGTGTTTAGTCAAAGCTTCTAGTACACCATTAAAGATTTATGACTAAGAATTGTTGAGAGCTGCTATGCATATTTAGAAATATGATCAAGAAGGTGGATCTTTCTTTATGCAGGATCCAAAGAGCACCTACTAGGTACCCAGA